GATGGCTCTGTTGCTAGTGACTGCGTTGATCAGTCGATGCGGTTGATAGTTTCTCGGACGCCTGATCATCAAATGTAAAAGAAAACCTCCCACTTAATCTGTTTCCTCCTTCGGTGAGGTGCTGTTTATCCACCACGTGGGGCCAAGCCGGTCAACTCGGCGTCGAAACTTAGACTTAGACCAATAGAGAGTTCATAGGAAGCGAAGGAAAGTTGCGTCATTATTGATTGAAAGTTTTAGATAAAAAACTGATCCATGGGGCCTAAAAAGAGTAAACCACTGACTCACAAGGTTTGAGCGAATCAGTTAGCAGGCAGTCTACATTTAAAACGATGCACCTATCGATTACTTTGAGTCTAGTGACCAAAGGTAAAAGATGAACATAAATTACCACGTAGAAGAGCCTATACGGGTACAATTTTGGGAAAATTCAGTCTCCTATGGGGAGTTACTCGTGGAGATGTGCATCCCAGAACTTCTCCTGGAGATAAAGGCGATGACTGCGGTATAATCATCTTGAACCCATGCTGTTCCAAGGGACTTTTCGCCGCCTGAAGACTGGTAACGAACTGAATCGTAGACACGACAGCCAGCCGGGAGCCCTTCTCAAAATTGGCCTTCAACGTATCGATGAAATGGAGCAAATCGATGCCAATGTCCACAAATATGTACCTTAAAATAACGACAAACGGACCACTCAGTTGTTGCTTTGAAGGTCGCATTTTGGCTTGGTGGTATTAAAAACGCAATACTGAGACTTCTCACGTACACTCTGCAAACATGTGGTAAATACACGTTCCGAGAAAGATTCATGAGAAAAGTCGAAGAGTAGTGCGAAGTGCGAACACAGACTACATTTTATGGTTTACTAAGCTCTCTAAAAACCGTAGGCAATAAAACTTACGAACAGAACATCCGTGTTTGTTCCGCTGTATGAGCGCAAAGGAGAATCTCTCGGAAGCTACGGTCACACACGGAATAATTCCTTCATTCTCACCTCGTTTTGTCCCAGTGTCAAACAAGCTTGCAGCTGATAATGCCTGAGAAGCATCTACCTATTCGCCCAGTTTGCTAGGAAATAATTAATCAAGTACATCGCAATGATTTATGGCTCCATTCAGGTATCTAAAACACATAAACTTATAGAACTACTTTATCTAGACCGACTGAAGCGAAAATCTGGAGGATAACTGGTTAGTTAGGTAGTGTTCTTGGCATCAACAAAATTTGCACACAAAGCATCACCACCAGAAAAGTACCCAGATTTTGCCTACTCTGCAAAAAACAATCAATTCGACAGGTTACTTTATATGCAACCGCAAGGCTCCGCAATTTTTTACTTCTAGACTCAGCGAAATTCTCAGAGTAATATCGATATTCAACCTATCAGAACCAACCGAAGTCATATTTAAGAACAGTTTGGACAGTGACTCTCAAGCTCGTTGAGATTTAGGGCAACATAAAAACCAATCAATAAGATCTCTTTCGGGTGGTGCACTAAATCATTGTTGAAAGTCGGTTAAAGGTTTCAGAAGAGCTTGGTAAACAATC